CCCGGTTCACATATACTGTATGTGGTGCGGGAAACATAGCAAATCCTTAGTATTTTCCAAACCTCATTGAAATCGCACTTTGTTAACGCAGTCTTCCACGGGTGTCAGTGTTAAATAAATAACACCTCAAGACGGGTCTGAATACCCAGTGTGCTTGCAAGAATCAGATTGCATGGGTGCTCACACCCATGCGGTCCATTTCCGGTGTGGCAAAAAAAAATGCCTGCACCTTTTTCATTCAAGTGCGGTGCGAATTGAGCCCATACAAAATGAATGGACTTAAATCGCACTGCAAATAATCGCTTGTGATTTGAATAGGAATGTGGTGTGATTCAAGTCCGAATCACATGCAATTGTATGCACTGCTATAAGGTGAACCCAGGTTCAGAGTGTCAGAAACTAAACATAACAAAGAAAATCAGACCCTACCCCAACTACAACTCAGTTCACTAAGGAGCAACAACAAGTGGAGGGTAGTTCTGATGTGAACCTTTGACACATACTCATAAGGTGCCTCCTATAAAGAAAACCTGATACTTTACTTACTGTGGGCAAAGTGAAGATTCACTTTATAGCCTAACTCCAGCTTTGATATCACTTTAATTAGTTGATTTGGGCCAAGCTAGCCCAAACAAACAATTTCCTTTACTAATACATGCAGCTGATGTCAACACTGTATAAAGGTTATGTGACACCAGCTATATACAGTATACAATGCTGTGTTGTGGCAGTGATACAGGGAATTCCCATCCCATTCCTCAAACAAAATAGAGTTGAATGCCTTATATTGTACCAGTGAATACAAGGCTTCCTCTGAATGGCTGAGTGGAGATGATGACATCATCCACCCACCTCTACACCTTGGCCAATAAGAGAAAGCCTTGTATCCATTCACAATAATACAAGGCTTCCTATGAATAGCTGAGCCTTACAAGATTTTGTTCCAGAAGCAGATGGGAAGTCCCTGTACTGCTCCTTAGCCCCAACGCTGTTGCTACTTACAGTTATACATTGCTGACAGTGGCCACATGTGTTAGTAACATGAACAGTTTCCTTGGGCCAGCTTGATCCAAATAAACTTTGGAGTTAGCCTTGAAGTCAGGATTTAAACCTCATTAGTACAATACAGTCACCTAAAAAAAAATTTAGTTTAAGGGTCCATTCAATCCAGATGTGCTAGCATGCTTTTATTAATGCGTGCCAATGCATATACTTTGTAAAAGGATGGTGTTTTAATAGGAGCTATTTACACCAGTGTCAAGCTGATGTGCACTGCCCCTGTTTTGAGAAAAAGTAGGACAGGCCAAAATGTAGAACAGTGCAACACACCTAAAAACTTGTAAGCACACCGCAACAAACATAAATGCAGTCAGAACAGTCAGATTAAGTTTTTTTAATAAATAAAGCTAGGTAACGTAAAAAATAAGAAAGTTTTGATGGACATTGCAAACACATTGCAACGCACGTGGGTTTACAAGGTTGAATGGACCCTGCTGTTTACTGTTTTACATGTATAGACTTGCCCTCAGATATCTGCAACACATACTGTATAAGCATTTGCAAATATGCAGTGGTACCTTGGTTTACGAACGCTTCGGTTAACGTAATTTTCGGTTTACTAATAAAAAATCTATTGAAATTAATACAAAGCAAGTTTCCCCAGGATACATTGCACCTGGGAAGTTTATAGCACATGCTGGAGTCTGTGGGTAGCACATGGCGTCAAGTGTGGAGGTGTTGGAGTGCTTTTTGCATTGGGTTTTGGAGCCATTCTGGAAATTAATCATGTCCCTGTACAGTATTTATGCCTTTAAAGTGCACTTTATAAAGAGTTTTGAACAGATAAAATACTTTTTTTTTACTTTTTTTCTGACCTCCGGAACAGATTAATTGGTTTTCAGTGCATTCCTATGGGAAACCGCATTTCGGTTTACGAATTCTTTGCAATACGAAACATCCCTGCAAACGCATTCAATCCATAAACCAAGGTACCCCTGTATATGAAAGATGCATGCTGTGTCAAGGTCCTCTGATTCATGCAATCCTATGCTAATTTGTGCATGCATCAACAGAGAGGCAATGTATACACAGTACAATTTAAGTATTATAATGCATGTTAATAAAATAAGAGACAATTTTATGATGTGTGAAGAAAAGCTTAAATATATGGTAGTAGCAGCAAGTATCACACAAATGCATCTAATGTAAGATCCTTTGCAATCAATTAGGAAGCGTAAGCATTTTAACAGTCCAAGCATGAACGCATACACTAAATATCTGATGGTATCAAAGGCTCGACCATATTGGAAAAGCTCCCTTCTCCCATCAGGAAATCCGAACACACATTGATTTTGTCTTGAATCTTCCAAGCACCTATTTATATTGCTGACACTCGTAACAAACCTGTTTAGGACCACACTAGCATCTGTCTTTGTTATTATATAGCTTATAAAGTGAGTGTCCATGGCAGGCTGCTTCCTATTAGGCTACTAATAAGTCTGTGTCATAATGTTTAGTTCCCGACATAATCGACTGCACTCCTGTTCTTCTTGCTTTACATTTTAATCTCATCTGAAACTGTTATCCTACCAGGAAGAACGCAGCATTTAAATGTATCAATGTCAAGGAATTAAGACTTAATTAATATGTGCATATTTTTTTCCAGCCAAGGAGGTTACTGACTCTGTTAAATATTTTTAGGCTCTCTGCTGTCTAGATGAGGAAACTAAACAATAGTGTTCTTCTCAATATGCATTGCAGAAGGTATGTGTGTGCTATAGCAAATAGCCTGCATACATGGGAAACCAATATTCATCTGTATCTAGCAGCTGCTTCTGTATAGGGGCACATACATGAGGGTCTAGATGTATGAATGTTTGGTTTCTGTAACAAGCTACTAACAGCTGCTCTACTTCCAAAATCCACTGATGACCCATTCTCCCAGCTCAGTCTCCTTCCCCTATTCTTCTTGCCTTGGGTGGCAATTTGGTTAACCAGGAACCTGCACTCCTTGAGGAGTTATTCAGAATTACAACTGGAACTTGCTGCAATAGTAAGCTGATGTCATTCAGAATTAGGTTTAAATATGTCCCATTCCACTGACACAGGGCTCGAGCAAAACTTCCTGGTACTCCTTGTCAGGGCTTTGAGAAGCTCTCTCGTTCTTCTACAACAGTTACAACTCAGCTTGACTTCTGACACCTGCTCCTGATATCTTGCTCCTGGACAAAGCTCTGCTGCCTTTGACATGTACTTCTACTTGGTCTCTTCTGATGAAACCTGTTTTTTTTCTCCATACTCTGCTTCCTTCCTGTTATTGTTGGTTCACACCTGTAGTGTTCTTCTGTCTGCTCTTTTTTGGCTAGGCCTGTTTGAGGTCTTCCACAGCTTCTAGCCTGTACTTGTCTACAATTCTTTCCCCATCTCTGCATGCACCAGTTGGGAAATTCCAAGGATCACAACCCAGGAGCCAAATTTCAACCCACTTCAGGATGGGCAATAATGAAGACTGTCCACTCTTTGGACTGTGTGCCTTGGTGAACTGTGTGTGTGTGTGTGTGTGTGTGTGTGTGTGTGTGTGTGTGTATATATATATATATATATATATATAGAGAGAGAGAGAGAGAGAGACATGTATATATATATATATATATATCAATCAATCAAAAGCACACCTTCTTTTTAGCACTCTCATTCATCCAGTCTCTTGTACTCTTGTTGAGGTGTATGTGTGTGTATGTGTATATATATATATATATATATTATTATTATACAGGATTTACATAGCGCCAACAGTTTGCTCAGCACTTTACAATAGAATGGGAGACAATACAGCAACAATACAGTTCAATATAAGAGGGAAAGGAGGGCCCTGCTGCTTGGAGCTTACAATCTAGGAGGGAGGGGCTAGGTAGTAACTGTGGGGGATGGACTGGTAGGAAGAGCAGAAGATTCCATTATTAGCTGAGGGCAGGATAGGCTTCCCTGAAGAGATAGGTTATCAGAGATCGCCTAAAAATGAGCAGAGTAGGCGGTAGTCTGATAAATTGGGGTAGAGAGTTCCAGAGGATGGTGGAAGCTCTTAAAAAGTCCTGGCGATGAGCATGGGAGGAGGAGACAAGGGAGATAGAGAGCAGGAGGTCTTGCGAGGAGCGGAGAGTGCGGTTTGGGTGATATTTAGAGACAAGATTGTTGATGTAATTTGGGGCAGAGTTATACATGGCTTTATACGTTATTGTTAATGTTTTGAATTTTATCCATTGGGCAATGGGAAGCCAGTATATATATATACACATGATTATTGCCAGTTACAGGCCTCTCTCATCTTTTTAAGTGGGAGAACTTGCACAATTGGTGGCTGACTAAATACTTTTTTGCCCCACTGTATATATATTTACAAAGCTTTGTGTCCATGTCCAAGCACGTTTGCACTTTTCACCAGTATTTCACTGATGCACTTTAGGGTTGGAAGTAGGGCAGAGGATAGAATTGGATTTAGGGTGAAAACTGTGATCTTGAGCCACTGTCCTGCAGTATAATACATTATTGCTCTATCATTTGTCAGTTGTTGATGTATGGGTCACTGCAAGTCATGCAGTCTACATTTCCCTGCCTTGTCTGGAAGGATTAGAAAGACCTCCAACAGTGACATTGATGTGGAGTAACGTGTGGCATTCTTACCGACACAGTAAAAATGTCAGCTCAAAGATGTGTCCTAAGGTCTTTTGCCCATTTCAGTTCTGATTAACAGAACCTAAGAATACCTTGTTCCTACCTAACCTGCACACCCACTGGATATTATATGCTGGGGTGCTTCAAAAAGAGTTTGTTAAAAGGCCTGATGGTTAAAGGTGGCCTGTTGCCACTATTTTCACTTTGATAGGTTTAGATTTTATGGTAACAAATAATGAACTTTTGTTAATAATGCTGCCTTCCTGGCTGTTATGTTGCTCTTCTATATGTTCTTGATCATTGGCCCAGAACATTTACACTCACCGGCCACTTTATTAGGTACACATTGCTAATGCCAAGGAAATATCCCCCATACCATTACACCACCGCCACCAGCCTGAACTGTTGATACAAGGCAAGATGGATCCATGCTTTCATGTTGTTTATGCCAAATTCTGACTCTACCATCTGAATGTCACAGCAACCAGTCTGCTCTTTCTCCTCCAACCTCTGACATCCACAGAGGTGGTTTCCAGCCCACAGCAGTTATTCCTGTGAACATTCAGCACATGGAACACCTGATCCTGGATAATCAACACATAACCTGTCACATAACGACTCTTTCTGTGGTCAGCATTTCAGCACTGATGACGAAGTGAAGCAAATCTTTCTATGCTGAAGCTTCAACATAGAAAGATTTGCTTCACTTCGTCATCAGTGAACCACAACGGCCGCGATTGTCACTGGCAGACGGATGGCCATCTTTGATACGTTTGCATCATTCAAAGATCTTACTGCAGCTGAGCATCTCATCATCATACTGTGCTTGAAGTCTTCTGTAGATATCTGTGAGTTTTATGCCTTCATTCACAAGAAGCTTCATCACCACACGCTGTTCCATGCACACACTAACACTGTTGTCTGCCATCTTGAGTAACAGTCTCTGGACTGGCCTGCAACATGTGCGGTACCTATCAGTAATAGGACACGCTTGCCACTTACTACTGCATGTAGCACCATCACGCTAGCATTCCTTTTTACAGTATATCTGTAAATTAAAAGTCCTGGTTTTACTTGAATGTCTTTCTAAAGATAACTTACTGATTTGATAGATGTGTGTATGGGCATCCACACATGCTTATAGCAATATTGGCTCGGGTGCAATCCATAAAGGTGATATTTAGGTTTCCAATAAGAAAGAAGGTGCACTGCAAAAGGCTTGCTACAGAAAGAAAGGTTCAGTCCCCTGCCATGTTGTCAATAATCAATCACCTGCTTTCTTCATGGAGAAAATATATACACTATATTGCCAGAAGTATTGGGACGCCTCCCTTTACAGGCACATGAATTTTAATGGCATCGCAGTCTTAGTCCGTAGGATTCAGTATTGAGTTGGCACACCCTTTGCAGCTTTAACAGCTTCAGCTTTTTCTCGGGAGGCTGGGCTGTCCACAAGGTTTAGGAGTGTGTCTAATTGAATGTTTGACCATTCTTCAAAGCACATTTGTGAGGTCAGGCACTGGTGTCGGACGAGAAGTCCTGGCTTGCAGTCTCCGGTCTAATTCATCCCAAATGTTTTTTCTCAGGTTGAGGTCAGGACTCTGTACAGGCCAGTCAAGTTCTTCCAACCCAAACTCACTCATCCATGTCTTTATGGATCTTGCTTTGTGCATCCCCAAACTTTTCCCACAAAGTTGAGCATGAACTTCTCCAAAATGTCTTGATATGCTGAAGCCTTAAGAGTTCCCTTCACTGGAACTAAGGGGCCAAGCCCAACCCCTAAAAAACACCCCACACCATAATCCCCCCTCCACCAAACTTTACACTTGGCACATTGAAATCAGGCAAGTACTATTCTCCTGGAAAACGTGAGACTCAGACATGTTCATTGGATTAAAGGAAGAGCAAACCCAGATGCTTCTGTGCTTGTGGAATATGTTGACTGTGGAATATTTAGTATCAAAGAAATTTCACAGATGGACTTGCACAGGTGGCAACCTATCCCGGTACCACACTTGAATTCACTGAGCTCCTGAGAATGGCAATTCTTTCACAAATGTTTGTAGAAGCAGTCTGCATGCCTAGGTGCTTGATTTTATACACCTGCGGCCATGGAGGTGATTGGAACACTGGAATCCAATGATTTGGAGGAGTGTGCCAATACTTTTGGCAATATAGTGTGTGTGTGTGTATATAAAAAAAAAATATATATATACAGTTGTGTTCAAAATAATAGCAGTCAGACATTGCTAACCTGATCGATCATTGTTTTTGGTAGAAATGATATTTCTACATGGCAAATAATTTACTAGCAGGTGTAGTAGAGTAATGGAAATCCAACAGACATGACATGCTTGCTGCTGATTCTGTGTAATTGAATCACTAATTGAAAGGGGCTTGTTCAAAATAATAGCAGTGTGGAGTTCTATTAGTGAGGTCATTCATTCTTTGAAAAACAGGTGGCAATTATTGCCCTTACATGCTGGTTACAGAGCATTTCTCTCTGAAATTCTGAGGAAAATGGGTCGTTTCAGACATTGTTCAGAAGAACAGCGTACCTTGATTAAAATGTTGATTGGAGAGGGGAAAACATATAAAGAAGTGCAGAAAATGATCTGCTCAGCTAAAATGATCGCAAATGCTTTAAAATGGCAACCAAAACCTGAAAGACGTGCAAGAAAGCGAAAAGCTACCATTTGAATGGATAGAAGAATAGCCAAAATGGCAAGGACTCAGCCAACAATCAGCTCCAGGAAGATCAAAGAAGGTTGAAAGTTACCTGTGAGTACTGTTACAATTAGAAGATACCTATGTGAAGCCAAGCTATCTGCAAGAAGCCCCCGCAAAAGTCCCACTGTTCAAAAAAAGACATGTGCTAAAAAGGTTACAATTTGCCAAAGAGCACATTGACTGGCCTAAAGAGAAATGGCGCAACATTTTGTGGACTGATGAAAGTAAGATTGTTCTTTTTGGATCTAGTGGCCGGAGACAGTTTGTCAGACGACCCCCAAACACTGAATTTAAGCCACAGTACACTGTGAAGACAGTGAAGCATGGTTGCGCAAGCATCATGATATGAGGATGTTTCTCATACTACGGTGTTGAGCCTATTTATCGCATACGGGGATCATGGATCAGTTTGAATACATCAGAATACTTGAAGAGGTCATGCTGCCTTATGCTGAAGAGGAAATGCCCTTGAAATGGGTGTTCCAATCAGACAACGACCCCAAACACACCAGTAAACGTGCAACATCTTGGTTCCAGACCAACAAGATTGACGTTATGGAGTAGCCAGCCTAATCCCCGGATCTTAATCCAATAGAAAACTTGTGGGGTGACATCAAAAATGCAGTTTCTGAGGCAAAACCAAGAAATAGAGAAGAACTGTGGAATGTAGTCCAATCATCCTGGGCTGGAATACCTATTTTTTTGAACAGTCTAATATTCACTTTTCTTCAAATTTTTTAGAGGAACAACACAAATTTGATATAATTTTCTTCATGTTTTGATTTGGAATAGAATGTGTAGTGTTCCCAATGCATTTGTGTGTATGGAAATAAAAGCTATTAAAAGGATTTTGAGCTTTATTCACTTTTTTCAACACACTGCTATTATTTTCAACACAACTGTATGTGTGTATATATATATATATATATATATATATATATGTACTCTCTGACACCACAGCCCATGGAGGGCTTGTCCTGGTGAACACTTGTCCTAGTGTTTATTAATTACACATTTACTAAGATGAATGTAGTATAAGACCTTAACCTTGAGGCTCCTTTCATTATTCTGCTGGATTGTTGGATTTCAGTATTACTGTTCATTGCAGTCGGTTACGCTATCTCTCCCTCTTAAGTGTAAGCCAGCTTTGTGAATTCATGGACTGAATGGTGACAAACCTAATTAGCATCAAATGACAAGAAATGTCATTTCCTTACATTGTGTAAGTTCTGCAGGGTTCACCCACATACAGAGCTCATGTAAGGGGTTTGTGTAATTAGCCAAGGACATGAACTTTCTACATATTCATACTAGGCATTCATATACTTGTATGTATTGATGGATTGTAGTAACATATTGTTCAATACTCACATGGTCCATACATCTATGAACATTTCTTTTAAATTATATGTATGTTAAGATCTCCTAGGTGCTGCAGATCCATACTATTCATTGATCCACAGTAAACAAGCAAAGCAAAAATATTGCTCATATGGCTCACTAAGTGTAGTCATTATTTTTGCTTAGAAAGGAAGGAGATTTTCTAAGTGGCTTTAGTACTATCTTTTCAAGCTTATTGCACCCATGTATCAATTTCTGCGGTAAGTGGTAAGCATCTTTCATAAGTATTTTTATACTGTAGTATTGGTTGACGATTCATTGTAATTGTATTTAATTACTTTTACTTTAAGTGGGAAATTATACTGTTTTAGAATGCTGCTTCTTTGCTAAGCATCTGATGCCTTGTCTTTAGGGCCCATGCGCACCAGGTGGATTGCTCTGGGCAGCCATGTGCTGCAGGTGCAGTTAGCCTTCCCACATGTAGGCGACCTAGTGTCATGAGAAGTCTCAGAAGGGAACTGGTCCCTTAGAGGTTCCATATAGTGCCTTAAAAGAGTAGGGTAGACTGGCTACCAAATGATCTAGAGTCTTTGGTGGCCTTCTTGGGTGAGGGAACCTTTTAATTAAGGCACCCCAAGTCATTTTGGCATGCTTCTGGCAAGTGAATGGTAGAACGAGGAACCAGCTTTCAGAACCATTGAAAATAGAAATCTCTCTTTAGGGTAATTTTAGACAGGGCTTGACCCACACTGTGGATCATTTCTACTTACCGAGACCTTGCCAAAGAGATATTCCAACACTACTGGTTTTGACTGATCAAGTCAATTATCCTTCTAGTCCTACAAATTATTCATAAGTTAAATAGTACAGTACATGTGTCCTGTACCCTGTAATAGTATATTTATAAACTGTTGTCTTTAGATATACAGTGCTTTGCTTAAAATGTGTTATCAAAATGACCCCCACCTGAAAATAAATCCATATCTTTCCTTCATGTGGTATGCACTCATCACTCCACTGAATATAACAGCTTCAGCCAGAGTGTAATGACCTTGTCCAAATGTAGTGCTTGAAAACTGCTTGAGAATTCACTCACTGCATACATCAGAGGAGGTAACGTACCATTATCTGCACTGGAAACAGTTAATCCTACTATATGAATACAGTATCAGATTGTTTATTAGTGTTCTCTGCAGTAAATTAGGAAAAAGGTGCTAGCAAAGGTTAGTAAATAAATACACTCACCGGCCATTTGCTAGTGCCAAGAAAATATCCCCCACACCATGACACCAGCCTGAACTGTTGATACAAGGCAGGATGGATCCATGCTTTCATGTTGTTTACACCAAATTCTGACTCTACCATCTGAATGTCGCAGCAACCAGTCTGCCCATTCTCCTCTGACATTAACAAGGCATTTTCGTCCACACAACTGCCTCTCACTGGGTATTTTCTTTTTTTCAGACCATTCTCTGTAAACCCTAGAGATGGTTGTGCATGAAAATCCCAGTAGATCAGTAGTTTTTGCCTGTCTGGCACCAACAACCCTGCCACGTTCAAAGTCACTTAAATTCCCTTTCTTCCCCATTCT